TATATATATATATATATATATATATATATATATATATATATATATATATATATATATATATATATATATATATATATATATATATATATATATATATATATATATATATATATATATATATATATATATATATATATATATATATATATATATATATATATATATATATATATATATATATATATATATATATATATATATATATATATATATATATATATATATATATATATATATATATATATATATATATATATATATATATATATATATATATATATATATATATATATATATATATATATATATATATATATATATATATATATATATATATATATATATATATATATATATATATATATATATATATATATATATATATATATATATATATATATATATATATATATATATATATATATATATATATATATATATATATATATATATATATATATATATATATATATATATATATATATATATATATATATATATATATATATATATATATATATATATATATATATATATATATATATATATATATATATATATATATATATATATATATATATATATATATATATATATATATATATATATATATATATATATATATATATATATATATATATATATATATATATATATATATATATATATATATATATATATATATATATATATATATATATATATATATATATATATATATATATATATATATATATATATATATATATATATATATATATATATATATATATATATATATATATATATATATATATATATATATATATATATATATATATATATATATATATATATATATATATATATATATATATATATATATATATATATATATATATATATATATATATATATATATATATATATATATATATATATATATATATATATATATATATATATATATATATATATATATATATATATATATATATATATATATATATATATATATATATATATATATATATATATATATATATATATATATATATATATATATATATATATATATATATATATATATATATATATATATATATATATATATATATATATATATATATATATATATATATATATATATATATATATATATATATATATATATATATATATATATATATATATATATATATATATATATATATATATATATATATATATATATATATATATATATATATATATATATATATATATATATATATATATATATATATATATATATATATATATATATATATATATATATATATATATATATATATATATATATATATATATATATATATATATATATATATATATATATATATATATATATATATATATATATATATATATATATATATATATATATATATATATATATATATATATATATATATATATATATATATATATATATATATATATATATATATATATATATATATATATATATATATATATATATATATATATATATATATATATATATATATATATATATATATATATATATATATATATATATATATATATATATATATATATATATATATATATATATATATATATATATATATATATATATATATATATATATATATATATATATATATATATATATATATATATATATATATATATATATATATATATATATATATATATATATATATATATATATATATATATATATATATATATATATATATATATATATATATATATATATATATATATATATATATATATATATATATATATATATATATATATATATATATATATATATATATATATATATATATATATATATATATATATATATATATATATATATATATATATATATATATATATATATATATATATATATATATATATATATATATATATATATATATATATATATATATATATATATATATATATATATATATATATATATATATATATATATATATATATATATATATATATATATATATATATATATATATATATATATATATATATATATATATATATATATATATATATATATATATATATATATATATATATATATATATATATATATATATATATATATATATATATATATATATATATATATATATATATATATATATATATATATATATATATATATATATATATATATATATATATATATATATATATATATATATATATATATATATATATATATATATATATATATATATATATATATATATATATATATATATATATATATATATATATATATATATATATATATATATATATATATATATATATATATATATATATATATATATATATATATATATATATATATATATATATATATATATATATATATATATATATATATATATATATATATATATATATATATATATATATATATATATATATATATATATATATATATATATATATATATATATATATATATATATATATATATATATATATATATATATATATATATATATATATATATATATATATATATATATATATATATATATATATATATATTAATGAGTGCTGTTTACTTGCAGCTTAAGCGCAATAAATGATACTTATTGTTTTTCTTAACTTTCTTAGTGTTTTCTTGTATTTATATATATATATATATATATATATATATATAAATAAATACAAGAAAACACTAAGAAAGTTAAGAAAAACAATAAGTATCATTTATTGCACTTAAGCTGCAAGTAAACAGCACTCATTAGATATATATATATATTCAAATTTAAAGCTAATGACTTTCCGACAAAAAAAGAGTTATTTACCCCTTAGAAAAATAGTGTGTAGCAGGAAAGTTTCCCAGTACAATTTTTCTCAGGGAATATAATTGCATAGCTGCCAACTCTTCTGCATTTTGAAAAAACTGCATTTACAGCCATGTTCTGCCTTTTTGCACTAAGCCTCAAATCTTCTGCATTTTAAATATATGCATTAAAAATATATTTGTACCTTCTTAGAACTGCATACATTTTTACATATAATATGCATGTGTGAGTGTGGGCTTTCCTGCTTTCCTCAATCAGTATCTTGATTTTTTTTTCTGCTGTGTTTCAACCTGGGTGATGTTGTAGGTAATTTATTTATGCAAAGTACAAGATGTTAAACATGCGATAGTACGAAAAAAGGGATCTTCTTTTTTGAATATATTTGAACTGATTATGTTATAACGCTGTATTCCACTTGAGGAACACTGTATTCAAATAACCCTATTGTTGATTCTTTAAACTGGAAATAAAAGTTTAAAATGCATAAAATCTGCATTTTAATCAATTTCTTCTGCAATTTTATTGTTAATCTTCTCCATTTTAAAAAATAGAAGTTAGCAGGTATTTAAATTGGAAGATATATTAACTATGAACAACATAGGCGTCTTATGTATCTAATATTTTAAAAAGACAAGTTCATAATAAACAGTTACAATAGTTTGTCAAATTTCGCATTGGAAAAAATACGAAATGTGAAGAATTTCTTTAAATTTCTAAATATTTGCAAAATTATTTATTAATTTTTTTTTAAAATTTTTGACTTGTTTTCAGCTTAGCAATTTTTAAATTTATGATGATTTATAAATTTTTAATTTGATAAAATTATTAGAACTATTTGAGATTTTACATTATTGAAGAAGACCTACACCCATGATTAGCAACTATTATAATTGTAATACTTTTTCAGGGTGCATATTATTTGTAAAAAGTGCTTAATTTTAACTTTTCTGAAATGTGATATTTTTCTTTACCATCTTGATTTTCGCCACAAATTATGCAAAAAAAAACATTGTTCTACTCAACGTTTTCACAATTAATTCCACCCCAATCTATTTCGGCATACCGCCGGTCTGTAATGTATGACAGCACCATTTGTTTTACATGTTTGATGAAAGACTTGCGGTTCCACACTTGCGTATACTGAGCTGGATTCAGTTGTAAGGATTTTTGACTCTCATGTGCAACCCTGCATGCATTTACAAGAGATTCTCAATTTCAGACTTCATTTCCGCCCTCTGTATTAGAATCGAAAAATCTCTCGAATTTTCGATGATTATGGGGACCAACTAAGCATTGTAAATTTTTTTTCTCTATAAGTGATAGAAAATTTCATTTCTCTTGTTAATTTCATTGTTTGTGACGCTCCATCATCTTCGTCATTGTAAATAAAACTGGATAGAACCATCAATTGTCAAAAACTTGCCAACCCTGTCTAATTATGATATTTTTCAAAATATTTTTTGAGTGCTTAAAAGGTGCTTATTTTTTGTTGAAAAATTTGTCTGCGCACCCTGTTTTTTATGACAGCATGTGAATAATACTGAGAACAAAAGCTTTGTGTGACAATTTTTTACTATCTCATTACAGCCAAATGCAAATGATTCTGGCCATAGCAAATTCTAATCCTGATATTTTAGACCAACTTGGACGTAATGGTCAAGCTATTAGACGAATTATTTCACAGCTCCAAAAATTAGAATCACTGAAAGTAAGTATTCTAAATATCTTACTATTTTATTTGTGAAAGGGAAAACGTCTTAATAGTTTTCTCTTTTTAGTACTTTATTCTTCAAGTGTTGCATGATATAGGGGGGATTTTGAATAGATTTAATAAAAAATAATGTAAAATTTTATTTTTTACTATTCATTATTGGAAATTGTTTTTACACATATTTGTTAAGCTAAAACTTGTTAATAACTTGTCTAAAACTTGTTAATTTATGTTCTGAAAGACAAATGGAAAAGCAAAATTTTAAGAATTGAAACTAGATTACTTTATACTAAATCATAAGTTTTGTAATGCTGTTTTTTTTTTTAATTATTATTATTATTATATTCAGGCACGTCAATTGCGTCATTTTTTCAGCACTTTATATTTTTAAAATTTAAGAACTTTTTTTTATTGTTTCATTTTTGCCTGTTTTCTGAATTAACTATAGCACAGCATTTTTAAGGAGCGTTTCTAATGAACTTCATTCTTGTATTGTCTCTTTTGTCCTGTACGATATGACAGATAGCCAGTAACTTTGAAAACTGTGATTTCAACGTTAAAAGTAGATTTCGGGACTAAGAACAATGTTGTTTTTTTTCTGTTTCTCTTTTGCTTTTTATTAACTTTACTTTTTATAAGAATTTTTGAAAGAGCTCTTTTAATGAACATTATTCTTTTATGGTCACTTTTTTCTAAAAAATACAGCAGTGTGAAAAAGTTAAATTGCGATTTTTAGCCTTAAATCTTTTATTTAAAATTTAGAAAGATTTTTGTTTTGATTTCTATCTAGCTTTTTCTTTTTCAAAACACTTTTGTTTTTATCGACGCTTTTATTCTGACATGGCAATTAAGAGGATTATTAGACTTTAAACTTCACTTTTTCTCGAAAATACGGTAATTGGAAAATTGCGAGCTTTAAAAATTTCTTTCAAAAATTAATTTCTTTTTCCTGTTTTGCTTTTGTATAAAATCTTCATTTATGGCTGTTTTAATGATAGCACTGCATTTTTAAAAGCGTTTCTGATAGACATTATCTCTTCAAACATTTTATGGATAATTTTTTCTGGAAAATATTATTTTTTGCATTAAAGTTTTGTTTTAAGAATCAAGACAATGTGTGTTTGTTTGTTTTTTTCGATTTCTCTTTTTTTTTTCAACTTTACAACTTAAGTTGTTTTTTTAATGGCCATAGTTGGTCAGTTTTTTTATTTGTCTTAAATATTTCTAATTATTTCAATATCTAGTTATCTTTATTATCTTATTTCTCTTTACCTCATACCAGTAATACAGCTAAGTTTTGATTATTTCTCAATAATGGCTAAACTTATTTATATAGAAAAATTATTTATAGATTTATTTTTTTTAAAAAATGTTGCTATTTGACTGCCAAATATTCGGGATTTTGCTGATACTTTTGGTTGAATATTCGGTGTTCAGCTAAATCACTATTCACTTCATCCCTACAAGAAAGATTACTGAGAAAGTAATCCTGCAATAATTTTGGTAGTTTGAAGAAAAAAAATAAGCATTTGAAGTTTCACTCTTGGTTATCTAAACACACTTTTTTCTGTTATTCTAATCTTAAATAACTGATGCAGGTGAGGCCCTTCATTGGGTATGCTTGTAATGTCTATTCCTATTTTAAGTTGTTTGTGGCACTTAGTATATAAAACTATCTAATTTTGATACCTTGAGCAAATGTTGTTTAAGTGTAAAACATTCGAGTGAGTTAGGGCTCTTGTGTATTTAATTCAACCTTGCAAAATAAATCTTAAAACTATAGTTTAATAGCAAATTATTTTTTTTAAATTATATTTTATTTATTGGCAAAATGAATTTATAATTTGTTAATAATTAACAAAATGAATATTAATTTTGTTTGTGTTAAACTATGCTAACAGCTCAAAAAATACAAACTTCATGTACTAAAATAAAAGTAAATGGTTTTAAGCTTTCAAAGACTTTATCTTGTTATAAAATTTTTTATCTAAACTCATTATTTTCTTTATAATGGAAAAAAAAAATTGCTTCTAAAACACACTCTGTAACTCTCTCTGCATAATCATTATTTAAAAAAATTACAGTTTTAAAAATTACTCATCTTTACTTCGATAAATAAATAATACATGTTTAAAAATTTTAATTATTTATTCTGTGTTTATTTATTTCCTTAAAATAAAGTTCTACAAGTATTAGAGCATTTACATTATCTTCTTTATCAATATAAAATAATGCTGTCAGTTATCCAAAGTACTTATCTCTATTTGCCTCTATTCAGTAAAAAACATCTTTTAACATTTTATTTATTTAGTTTTAGCTCTAGAGATTAATTCTATAGAAATGGTTTATAGGAATTCTTTTCATTTGAGTGCCATACTAAACTATTAAATGATAATTTGAGATGAAAATTTTAAAGTGATAATAGTTTTTACAACAACATACATTACAATTTTGTGTTTGCATAACTCAATTTATGAAGAAAAATGCTATTACTACAGATGAGAACTGAAAGAATAAATCATTATTTATATAAATTGTAGTATGTACTTTGCCCTTGGATCTGTTTTAAAGCTGTTTAATTGATTATAATATTTTGGTTACACAAAACAGTTAGGGACTAATAATTTAATCAAAAGATAATAAAAAAACACTATAAATATTTTTAAATTTTGAAAAACATTATTTAACATGTTAAGACTTGAAAATCTCTATATTTTATATAATAGCCTATTTTAAAATCAATGAAATAGACTACTATCATAAGTTAAAATTAGAATATATGTTTTTAAGTATAAATTTTAAAGAAAGACAAAATATAAATTAGTAAATGGGGGGTTTTATTAATAAGTTTTATAAAAACTATTTTTTTAAACCTTTCTATATTCCTTTAACTAATTTAAATTGAAAGAAAATAAGAATTTTTTTTTCTTTGTTTGAATTGAAAGCAAATGACTGAAGAAAGCAAAAGAGAAAATGATGAAAAACTTTGGAATAAGTGGTTGATGAAATATAAAAAAAGGATAGAGCAAGATATTGCATGCTATGAAGGGGATACACAGAGTTACCTGACTGAAAGACTCAATCTTTTGAAAAATAGTAATCCAAGGTTTGTATTTTTTTCTCCTGGCTTATCAGACACTTTTGGGATTTTTAATAAATCAAATGCCTGTTATTTAGATATTCATTTAGTGCCTATGAAATTACATTGCTAAATCTTGTTTTTCAATTTTTTTTAAATATATGGTAGAATTTAAATTATCTGAAGTGATTGGGACTGAACTTATTTGGATGATCAAAGTATTCAGATAATAAAGATAATTGTTTTAAATCAATTTTCATAAATAAAATTTTAAAAGCAAAAAGATTTTGTTTAAGAATTGTTTCATTTAATTTTTATGTGACCATTAAATAAATTTTCTTTTGTTAGATCAAATGTGTTAATGCAATGTTTTTGTTAAAGTGTAAATGTAAGTTATTTTAAAGTTCAAATGCATTATTGCCTCTGTTATCAGCACTCCTTTACTCCATTTTTATGTAAGCCATTAGTGAAAAACATTTATTTAGTTGTAAATCTGATTTCATTGATTATTGAAGTTGATTTCGTTGATTTATATCCCTGTAAAAGCTGATTATGACTTTCTCCTACTGTGCAATACTAAATTTTTATTACTAAGATAACCTGGGTGCTTTTTAGCAGAAGTATAAGCCATACTAAACTAGAAAGACAAATAAATCAAGAAAAAATACAATTTTCAAATTTCTGTAGTAAATTCAATCAATGAACTTCACCAACTAAGAAAACATCAATTTCTTACTAACATAAAATCATTATTTTTTGTAGTTATGCAGAATAAAAAGTGTTTTTGTTTTATTTCGGTCTCCTATAATCCATCGTAAATCGTCATTACACATTAAATATCTTATCGTAAATATGCATAACTCATGTATATAAATGGATCATATATACAGTTGATTCTTGATACATCGTTCCTGTATCTTTCGTTTTATGTATGTGTCGTCTTATTTCAATGCTCCCCTTACGAATTATATTCTTTTAATTAGCCATTTAAATCATTTTGAAATCAGCAAAAAACCACATCTAGGGTTCAAAAATTCTACTAACATTTCATTCAAAGGTGATAATGGAGAAATATGAGGATTTATTACAGTTTGGGGAAAAAGCTTTAAACATCAGATTTGATATGCTTCAGTTGATGAAAATGTTAATACTTATGGTTAAAGAAATGGTTGCGCAAGGTAAGAAGTGCAAAGTGATACCAATGAAAATGGCAAAACCAAACTACAATCAATGTGTAGAACCACAACTTTAAACAATTTGTAGAAGGACTCAAAGCCTTTGAAATAATGAGAAACTTTCTGTATTCACAAAAACTTACAGAAAATGAACTGTAATAGGTTAAAAATGACAAAATTTTATTGTTTGAACTGAGAAGAAAAGATAGTATTCAAACCGAAATTGCGAAATATTTTTAATAAATAGATGTGTTTATTCATCTTTCTTTTTCAAACTAAGTATTTTTATCTTAAGTACATAATTTTTTTTTCCAATTATAATTTTTTTATAAACATTGTAAGATTATAAATTTTCAAATCCATTACTTGTTCAATAATTTCCATACATTTTCAAGTCGTTATTTGATATTTTATGTTTAACCGCATTCATAGATTTCCTGTATCTATTGTTTGCAATGAATGGTCTCTTGAGAAAGGATCATTCGAGGTTCTACTGTGTATGCCTCTTGTATGTATCACATAAACTATGACTGTTAAGTGTTAGTGTTAAAGAGGATTTCATTTAAATTAAGGAATCATATCAAACTACAAAAATCATTTCTTTTTTGTCTTGAAAATTTAATTTTAACTGATATATAAACAAAAAATATTTGCATATAATGCATAAAAGCATCAAGGCATTATGAACTTTTATAAATCTCACTAGCATTTATGGATTGCATGTGGAATTTTAACATAATATTGATCAACATTTTATACTTACCTTGTACAAAAATTTAACCTTCTTTAAGTTCAGCTATTTCCACCACAGTATATTATTGACATGGTTGAAAGGATAAAAAATATTTGGTTCAAATATTCAAGGCTCTACTGTATCTATATATATATTTTTTAATGTTAATCAAATAGCTTAAATACTTAAAAATGCTTTTTTCATTTTAGATTTATTTTACGTAACTACATTCTCCAAGCTGCTATAGATAAGGCAGAAAAGGGGGATTTCAGTGAAGTACAAAAGTTGGTGGAAATAGTGAAAAATTCATATGAAAGCACTCATGTTGAAGGTGCTGCTAATGTTACAACACGGGCTAACACCACGGAAAACGAAGGTAGTTAATGGTTATTTAATTTAATAAATTGTAGCTTCGATATTTTCATAATCAGGATAAATAATTATGATCTCTACAAAAATATATTAGTGTTTCATAAAAATTGTTTTGTGAAACAATCTATCATAATATTTATTTAAAACTTAAACAATTTAGTTTGTGAGATGTGAAATATTATCTAAGTAAGATTATGGTAATATTTTTATTGTAAATATGGGTATTCTTTATTTTAAAGTGAACGAATGCATTTAAAAGTGAATAATGTATGTTTTATTAAACTGAAGACATTTATGTTCAAATATGCAGAATGTTTCAAAATTGTGGATTAAGATGCTTTTAGTAAAGGTAGTATAAAGGTGGTTATTTATGTTAGGTGGTAATCTATATATAAAGACAGGTAATCTATATTTGAATAATATACAGTGCGCAAAAAAATAAACAGACCACCCTGAATAATTTTTGATCTAATGATTGGATGTTCACGTTCTAGGACTTAATCTCAATGGTTCAAAGGTAATAAATATAGCTTTTTTCTACTGATTTTGACTTTTTACACTCAAAATATAAGAGGTAGCCACAATGTGGGAAATGCAGTCCCCGTATTTTGGTCAGAGGAGTGGTTCAAAGTATGGATTATATTAATGTTAATTTTACTTTTTGCACTCTCACTATACTTCAAGAACTTTTAAAGCGAATTGAAAATTTTTTGCATGTTATTATAAAATTCATTTATTTAAAGATTATTTCCTACAAAAAATAACTTTAAACAAATATTAAGTATTATATTTAATAAAAGTTTTTAAAAAAAATTTTGAACTGTTAGAAATACAATTTTTCAGATCGTTTTTAAGAATGTAATTTTACCTGAAAAAAATACATAATTTAGGCAAAATCGGTCAAATAGTTCCTAAAAAATTAAGTTTTAAATATGCAAATTTTTTAAGTTTTGATTTGAGTTCACCCTCTAGAACCATTAAGATTGAGTCCTAGAACGTGAAGACCCGATCAATAGATCAAAAGTTATTCAGGATACTCCATTTGCTTTTTTGCACACTGTATATCTTCTAAAATGTGTCAATGTACCAATGTGCATCAACATACATCTATGTATTAGGTATCATTAAAATACGGTCTATTTCTTTTATATTCTTGCCTTTTCATTCACCTAAATCTTTCCATTTGTTAATTTTCTTTATTTAAATTAATAATTTTTCTGCTGAATTTATCTCATACTTTTTATTATTATCACAGAGTAATTCTCAAGTTCTAATTGTAAAATCTTTTAGTTCTAATTTTGTTATCAAGTTTACCTTGAAAGATTCTATGTAGAGGTAAATAATAAGGACTTTTTGTATTCAATTAACCTAAAAATTTTAAGAGCTATGCGAAATTATGCTGTATAATTTTCTCACTGATAAATTATTACATGTTAAAACATGTCATCAACGAAATGAACTTACCAAGTGTCATGAAGACTTTTAAGAAAAGTACCTTTTCGAACAGTTTAAGTTACTATATGGTTTATTTGTTGAATAAAGGAAATGTGTAGCTTTGGTATTTGTTGCAAATAAACATTTTTAACCATTGTAATCTATGTTCTGCATCTTAATTGAGTTATACAATACTGTTTTTTTTTAAGTGAAAATATTATCCATGATATAGTTTTATTTGGTTGTAAATAGAAAATAATTATTAATGTTACAGCATCAACATCGAAGGAGTTCATCTCGTCTTGTGAACCTCTCAATAAAGCACCTTCTTGGGGATTTTCTGTTAAAGTGTCTTGATCTTCGTAGAAGGCACACATAGAATGTGTGTCCTACAATATGAAGTATGTTATGCTTTTGTGAGTTCTCCAGTTGCAAAATAGCTAACTTTGATTTTAGACAAAATTTATTAGTGTATCTAAGGCCCACATATCTCAAACCCATTGGTTTCAGACTTCCACTTGCAAAAAACTTATAAATCATCAAAATTTCTGTAATCTAAAATTTAAATTTTAAAACTTTTGCTAAATCTGGTTAATGAGACATTTACATAAATGTGATTCTTTTGGTTTGGAGGATTTTCATTATTTTGAATATTTGGCATTGTAACAGTAATCCGCTAATATCTTTATTCTTATTCACAAAATTTTAATATCAAGCATCAATTTTCGTATTTGTCTGATTGAAAATTTAACGCTGCCATTCGTATTCGCATTATTTAAAAATAGAATATTGGAATTTGTATTTTTGCTTTTTTAAAATCCTATATTGTGATTCGTATTCATGCGTTTGTAATATCTAATTTTCATATTTATACCCGATTTTAAAGCCACGCATTGCGATTCTTTTTCACACAATATTAAAATCCAATATCTTGATTATTGTAAAAACTAAGATTTTTCTTAAATTAGTCACCATAACATTTTCCAATGGCAGATAATTTAATTATAAATGTTAGTTCAAAAAATTTTTAATATTAAACATGTATGGTACTTAAATGTCTTAATGTAGATTTTTTGCACATAAAATTTTCCATGTTTTTCATGCACTCCTTTTAAGGGGGGTCACTATCACCCCTTAAAAAGAAATATACATTTATATTTGTTGTACTTACCACCAAATTATATTTTTTGTACTTACTGTTAGTATAAATTTTAATGATTTTAGTGATACAAAAATAACGAAAACAAGTTAACAAAACATTAACTTTCATACATCTAGAGTGTAGCATTTCAAGCGGTATTCTTTTGTGTCTAGTGTTCCATGTTATTAGATAGAGAAACGGTATATAGTGGAAAAATATTTTTCCATTTCCATTACTACCGTAGCATCAAATGTCCACTTTGCTTCTGTTAATTTAAATATTTAATTTTACTTCTAAACATTAACCCAGTCGTATTACGATTACCACTCAAAACTATAAAGACCCTTGATGTTCAAACGAAGATGAGGGTTTTTACTTGAGGTCATTATTGAATGCTTAATAAATTTCAAATATTTATTTATTGCTAATAAATATTGTACTAATATCAACAAAATAATGAACCTAATCTCAGAACTTGTTTTAAAAAAATATGAAATTAACAGAATAATTGATAATAATGCAACTTTTTTTTGTTAGTGCACTTGTATAATTATCATTTAAGATATTTAACTTTTGATGAAAAAATAATGCTCTTGTTCTGAGCAGTTATTTTCAATCAATAACAAATGCCCATGAAACTTTGAAATTTATATATATGAAAAATATAACAAATACCATCTGCTTTAATCCAAAATAACTCGGTTTTAATTATTTCTTTGAAATTTTTGCTAAATCTAATAACTTTTAGCCAATTGGAGCTGTAAGTGCAAAAGTGATTGATGCTTATTTTCAAAATGATTTCAAACCTGAATTTCAGTTCCTACATTTCAATGTAGTATTCAGTACAGACATTCTTATGCACGTTAAAACAGCATTGTGATTGCGTAATAGCAAACATGATTTCATCAGTTGTTATAATGGAAGAGTTGTTATAATGGAGAGTGGTACTAAAAATGATTAAATGTATAATACATTGTTGTTGATAAAATTTTTATCAATACATTTTTTTTTAATTTTGCAGATATTTAAAAAATCTTCAAGGTGATATAAAGTTGTTTCTCAAATGACAGTGGCATTTTAAAAGCTGGCAACAGATGAATGCTAACTTGATGACAAGAGTAAATGACAATTCTCCTTGAGTGTTTTGGGAATGTTGAAATTTTTATACTGTTATTAGTTTTTAATGTTTGCTTGTAATGCTATACAAGAATATTAGTATTATGTTATAAAAATAAATTATGTAAATTTTTGTATGAAATAAAATATTTTTATATATAGAAAATATATTTTCATATTACATCCATGCATCACTTATTAAAGTTGTTACAACGACAAAAAGTTTTATTAAGGAAACATGTTAAAATTGAAAGATTTTATGTTAGACTTGTACAAATTTTGTCAACATGTGAGGGCATATAGGGTAAACTAACCAGTGAAGGAACACTTAAGCTTCGCTTGTCTTTTAAAAATCATATTAATTTCAAAATTCGTAATTTTAGTTAAGTGACAGTGTCAACATATTTGTTACTAATTGCAAATTAAGAAAAAAAAATTGTAGAGCACTTACATAATATTGTTTTAAAGTTTTGGAGGTTCAAATAGCAAGTAGTAAGAAGACCAAGTGAAGGAACAGCTCTTACCAGTGAATGAACACCCAGTAAGGGAACACTTAATTTTGGTTGATTTTTAATGCTCTTTATGAATTTATAAGTCTTACAAATATTTAAAATCAAGCCTATTCTTGAAATTACAACATATAAATACTTGGAAAATGTTAACTTTTTTTTGTAATCATGAATTGCAAATTAAAGTGTCAACATATTTACACATACTGTTCATTCACTTGGAAATCTATGCCCAGTAAGGGAACATGCCTGTTCCCTCACTGGTTAGAAGTTGTTTTTCGTATTTTTAGCATATTTTTGATGCGGAACATTATTAAAGGTACAAGCAAATTAAATTTTATCTTTTATTTTCATTAACTTAGAAAAAAACCCTATAAAGGAACACTTGTTCCTTCACTGGTTTTTCATCGTTTGGTGATCCAGTGAATAAACACCCCCTTATCTCGGTACTTTATTATGCTATGATGCCTAGAAAAAAATAAAACGTAACTTTAATAACTATATTTTTAATTCTCGTTTTCACAGTGAGAAAAATTAAACTATCACATGCAATTAATTCCACTTCAAACATATAAATACAAACACTCACCTTATAATTTTTCAAAGAAACAAGGTGTTGCAGAGATAATAACAAATTCAAAAATTTTTTCCAGAGAAGTCTATTTGACCAGGTAATCCAAAACATTGCTAGATGACTTCCTATTGTTTGGCAGTAAGCTATTGTTACCCATCAATCTAAAGAAAAACTTTCAAATTCTTATTTTTAATCAATATGTATGAAATGTTCCTTCACTGGGTAGTGTTCCTTCACTGGTTGGTTTACCCTATGAGAGAATTTAAAATCAAAAATGCTTTGATGAGAGAAATGAATCTAGCAGAAAAATAAATTGTGTGCAGCATCTAACGTAGTTGATAATAGCTATCAAGGCTTTCAAATGGAGGGATGCAAAAGATTAAGATGATGTCTAAATCAATGGAACTTGAATGGAAAATAAAATTATATTCGAATTCATTTCCCGTATTTTTTATTCTTCTCAAGAAAATGCATATACAAGGTTGAAACAAAGAAGTTATAGGATTACTATCTGCCAAAAATTACAAATCCACTTCTTACTATTGCAAAATGCATGTATCCCTTTGTGGACATATCTTCTGAAGAAATAATTTCCCTGTCGACAGAGTTAGCATCCTCAGTACAGTGGGAACAAATCTATATTGAAACTCAGAGACTTGAAGAACAGCGGTACTTTGTCAGATATATTAAGTCCATTATAAAGTTTAAAGAAATTATTAAAAATTTAATTCATGATTAAAAAAGTGTGAACAATGATACAGGCTTAAAATATTTACTAGAAAACGTTACGATTGGATAGGATTAAACAAGAGTTTTATTAAAAAAATGTAAGAGGATAAACCACCATTTTGTCTTTTTTAAATAAAACTGGGAAATATTAGCAAGCTTGTCTGACATTGAAATATTACATACTAGACGCATATCATGAAAACAATCAGAAATTATTCAAAATGGGATCAACTGAAGTGAATGGGGGGGGGAATATCTGTTCTTTTAGTCTTCTATTTTATCTCTAATAAATTGATGCATAAATTAAGTATCCAAAGAAGTATGTATCCATAATATATTCAATAATTCTGATAATTTTATCTTTACTTCTACAATTGAGAAGCATATACTTCTAAAGAGCAACAATTATTTTTATATTTTTGAAGCGAAGGAAGTTTTTAATCAGGTAATGTGTTAAAGTGTTGTCGGGAAATTCAAACACTTCATATTATTTTGAATATTTCAAATCATGTAACGTGCAGCACGTATGAATCTTCAAACTTTAAAGGTGCTTTGCGGTTTTCTTTCTTTTTATGTCCCTTTTTTCTTAAGAACAGGGACGAAGAAGTAAAGGTTTGATGCGAAAATCTTGTGAACTAAACAAGGTGTGGAATAACTAAAGATTTTTACTTGTTGAATTTTTTTTTTTTGCATTTATATTCAAATTTATGGCAAAAATTTCAATTTCAAGCATGAAATTTTAGATAACTATAAGATAAGGCACACATAAAACATAATTTTATTGGTTATAAAAATATCACAACTAAATTTTCAAGGAAATATAAACCACAATAGGAATTTTTTTCAAATTTGATTTTAAATTTTGTCCAAGTCTCTTCTCTCTTTATTCAGATATTCTAAGAAATAAGCGCATTCAGCGAAACGAAGATTTTTTTAATATAATCATCGTTGAACAGCCGATCCAATTTTAAGCTTACGACTACTAATGTTCAACTTCCTAGTCTTGTAATTTTGAACTTGATCCAGAAAACAAGGGAACTCCTGGGTCAAGTTTTGGAAGAAATTTGCTTGCGTGGAGTACTTTTTAATGGGACAAACCCGCATTTGAGTTACATCGGGAGGAAAAACTCCCATGGTTAGCCTGATATCAAGGAGACTGTAACCCATAGGTCACCAAACTTTTTTGATCATCGACCCCCATAAAAGTAATTTTCTGTTAATTAAAATAAAACTATTAGATACTGTGTTTGTACATTTATTTTATGATTTTAAACATTTATTAAGGTAATAGTACATTGTGTAAAAGTAGTTTTATGAAAAAACTATTAATGTTAAAATTTAAGTACCTTAATATTTACTAAATAAGTAATTATAAATAAGTAGAAATAATAAGTAAAGTAACTTCAGATTTATTGCTTCTTAATCAATGAGATGGGTGTGCCTGGTGTTTTTTTGCAAGGTTCGTTATATTGGGTTCAAAATTTGTCAATTTTGATCTTAAATTCCCTCGAAACTCCACATTTAATGTATTTCTGTACTTAGTTAAGATTGAATTTACGTGACTGAAACCGGCTTCAACCATGTAGGAACTTGGAAATGCTAGCATAAATGGCTGTGCTATTTCGTAAAGTTTTACATATTTTTGCATTATATTTTTGTCCAAAATTTGCTTATTGTTAAATTTTGGAAAAGCGTCTTTGCTTCAAGATCCGATAATAATCCAGCAAGCTCATCTTGCAGGTTGATGTCCACGTTTTCAATTTGAGCAGAAAATTGCACAATAATCCAATCAGGGATGTCAATGTTTTCCAAACAAACAAAGCGCAGTTTAAAATCGTCGCTCAATTTTTGAAGTTGACTTGTATTGTTTTGAAGATGACTTGACCAAGTCTTCTTCTTTTATTTCTAATTATTACAGATTTGAAAAATACTGATAATCCTTACGTAGCAATGAAGATCTGAATAAATTTAATTTTACTTGGAAGTCTAACAGTATTGTTTGAGCTTCGATAATTGTTACATCTTTTCCTTGCACCTTTGTTTGGACATCATTAAATTTTCCAAATAAGTCCACTAAATAAAAAATATGGTTCTTATTGTTTTTCATGTAGTCATTTCCAAAAGTTTTTTCGCATAGAAGACACATAGGAATCGTTTCATTTGTCGGTGAACAAATAAATCCAAATTTCAAATAATCTAATGAATAATACCGACATTTCTTTTCAGAAATTGAAACTGCCATTTTTCAATTAGGGTTCTATAAATAAATTAGTATAATATACAGACTGAATAACGACAAAACTATAGCACACTTTATATTTTTTTTCACGAAAATCGCAAAATGTTTGAAGATATATTATTATTTTAATTTGATGTGTGTAGTTTAATTTAATTTCCAGTTAGTAGTGAACAGCAATAATGTTGTTGTATTGCTGTTTACTACTAACTGGAAATTAAATTAAACTTATTTCATGCAAAATTTTTATTCTTAAGAACAGTTAAAGACGCACATCAGATTAAAATAATAATATTTTCACAAATTTTGTAATTTTCGTTAAAAAAAATACAAAGTGTGCTATAGTTTTGTCGTGGGCTGTACTAATCCATATTATTAATGCTTACCTTCTTTTTTCATGTACTGATAATAAAAATTGTATCTAAACTAAACGAATGGTTTTATCGAAACAATAACTAATTATCCAAAACTATAAAAATTTTAATAATGACTCTGCAAATATTCAGCACTGTTCACAGATTGCAAAGATAGCTGAGACTGCGTATGATATTTGCGTTTGTAACGTCAATGCTCGTCGCACGTGACATTTGGACAGGTGCACATATGCATATGACTTATAAACCAGAAGTGCTGAGTTCGTGCCACTGCGCGCTGGTACGTAAATACTTGTTCCACCCTAATAAATATGCGTTTATTAATTTAAGTTCTATAAAGAAACTGATGCTAAGTCAATTATAAAAAAATTCACACATTTTACCTACTCAATTAGGTTTGTGTGATTTGCGTATTAAAAACTGTTTTTTCTTCGACCCTTCCGATTCGGATCGACCCCCCTGGCTCAGATCGACCCCCGCTTTTGTTAAATAGACCCCTGGGGGCCACTGTTCTTGTTCTAACCCATGATCCGCCTACCACTGAGCATATTTTTACGTCAGTGCAAGCCGGTTGCGGAATACGTATCCACCAGCTATTGCTGCGATTCGAACCCGGTTCGCTTCGTAAGGAGGCTAGCGCTTTATTTCCTGAGCCACAACGGCCCTAAACAAAGATTTTTTTTTAATAACCGTCGTTGAACAGCCGACCCAATTTTGGGTTTAAGACTACTAATGTTCAACTCC